CTGTGGCTGAATGCCGGCAGGGACCGTGACCTGTTCCCAGTGTGGCTGTGGCTGAATGCCGGCAGGGACCGTGACCTGTTCCCAGTGTGGCTGTGGCGGAATGCCGACAGGGACCGTGACCTGTTCCCAGTGTGGCTGTGGCGGAATGCCGACAGGGACCGTGACCTGTTCCCAGTGTGGCTGTGTGGCTGTGGCGGAATGCCGACAGGGACCGTGACCTGTTCCCAGTGTGGCTGTGGCGGAATGCCGACAGGGACCGTGACCTCCGAGAGTGGAAACGCACGCTAGCGATTTCATGGGCCTGGGCTAGAGAATGTGGCCCCTCACCCCACTCTTCACTGCTTTATTTCGTTGAGACTAATTTCGTTTAACATGACAGCCGTGACAAGTGCAATGTTTTGGCCAACTTCATTTGTTTTGGCACATAATAAAAGTGATGCTCTTTCTACCTGACAGTGTGCAGCAAGGATGATTGCAACAGAAATATTAACTGTGCCGTTGGGGCCGGTGCTGTGGTGCCCTGCAGCTCCTGCCTGCAGTGCTGGCATCCATTTGGGTGCCGGTTCAAGTCCCGGCTGCTCCACTTCCGATCCAGCTCTCTGCCATGGCCTGGGAAAGCAGTAGAAGACAGCCCAAGTGCTTGGGCCCCTGCACCCATGTGGGAGACCTGGAAGAAGCTCCTGGCTCCTGACTTTGGATCGGCCCAGCTCTTGCGTTGCGGCCGTTAGGGGAGTGAACCAGTGGATGGGAGACCTCTCTCTCTGTCTCTCCCTCTCTCTGAAACTCTGTCTTTCAAATAAATAAAAATAAATCTTAAAAAAAGTTGTGCCATCGAATGGCTGTCCTTACTATGTTTGCATTGTAGATATATTCTATGGCTTACGTATCGTCACTCAAAACTCTTATCGCCCATTCCTCCTCAGAAACATGTGGAAGAAGAAACAAAAACAACCATGACATCAAAGCATGACAGCGTTGGAAATTTTAGAAATGGGGAAGATGTTAGAAATGGGCTTAGAGGGGATCCAACATCCAGAGGAAGGTTCTGGAAGCCTCCGAGGAGAGCCTTTCACTCTCCCTTGTGGCTGAAGTGCCGTGGTTGGCGCACACCCTGGTTTCCAGTTCGATGCCACGGTGCCTTCTCTCCTGCCAAGCGGGCGTTCATTTGCTCCCTGTTGCTGCACCTTGCATGGTTTTGCCTTTCCTTTAGGGTAGACTCCAAGGAAATCCACAGATTTCCAATATCCCCAAGGCCGTGCCTTCCCCTCTCCCACGCCGTTGCTCCCTGTGAGCTCAGATCTCCCTCACGGGGGCCACTGTGCTCTGGGGCTCCCGGGAGCCGGAAGCCGAGGGGCGGAGCTGTCACAGAGGCATTGTTCTACCTTCAGTGCTCCAGGGGAGGGAAAGTCGCTGTTGCTAAGCAACCATGATCCTCCCAGAGCCCAGGCGAGAGCAGAGCAGCCAGTCTGTAGGGGACCCTTGCTAAGCACTGAGGCTCAGGGCTGGGGCTGGAAGAGACACCTGGGGTGGGCTGCTCTATGTCACACTCACCCGGTAACCCCTCCTGCAGCAAAGCCATAGCCCAGTGTCCACCTGCTAAATAATATAGGTGCTGCCTTTTAAGAAGATGGTAACTTCTGCTGTTTGAAAGGCTGAAGCCAGAACTCAGCAAACGATGAAGCAGTCCTCAATCATTTTCTTCTGGTGACCGTGACCTTGACCCCCACGCCGGAAGGAAGAGACTGGTGTGAAAAGGACCCTGTGAATTGCACTCAGAAAATGGTGAACAAATCAAACAAACAATGCTTTCATGCCCCACACCCCCACCGAGGGCCATTTGGATGTTTGCAGCCTCCCTCATAGGCCGTGTGAAACTGTCGACCTGAAAATGAGCCCACTTTGAATTCATTGAATTTCGGGATCTGCCTGTGGTTGCCTTGGCAGCGTCAGACCCAGTGATTTTGCGGGCTTCATGATGGTTTGCTGGACGTTCCTCGCCCTGGCTTTAATGGCTACTGCATCCCAACCAAGAACACACAGAAAGCAAGGATGGTTCAACTAGAAGAAATCTGTTACGTTACTGCCATCCAGGGGAGGAACCTGTGATCTGAATGGATGCCAGCAGACACATTTGAGATGTGAACCTGCTTTCCTAGAGGCCACCACTGGTGCTTGGAAACATTGACAGATGTCACCAGAGGATGTGACCGTGGTCCATCAAGGCTGCCCAAAGGGTAGATGCTTATAGGGTTTGGTTATTCTTTTCCTTAAGCTCCGATTCTCTGGGCCATTCTGTCTAAATCAGCTAGTAGATGTCTCAGTCCACCTTCGAGTCCTTTATTTCTTTTTTTAAAGATTTATTTATTTTGAAAGGCAGAGTTTCAGAGGGGATGGGAGAGAGAGAGATCTTCCATTCACTGGTTCACTCTCCAAACGGTTGCAACAGCCAGAGCTGGGCCAGGCTAAAGCCAAGAGCCTGGAGCTCCATCCACGTCTCCCATGTGGGTGCAGGGGCTCAAGCACTTGGGCCATCTTCCGCTGCTTTCCCAGGCGCATTAGTGGGAGCTGGATCATAAGTGGAACAGCCGGGACTCAAACTGGTGCCCGTATGGGATGCTGGTGCTGCAGGCCGTGGCTTGCCCCATGTTCCACAATGCAGGCCCCTCTTCCTACATTTTAAAGATAAAGGTGGGGTGGACCTTAGATGGGGTGCAGTTCCGGCACCACCTGAAACGTCCACACCCTGTATCAGAGCACAGGGGTTCTCATCCTCTGTCTGTCATGATCGTCACTTCCTGTGTACCCTGGGAGGCAGTAGGTGAATTTTCAAGCAGCTGGGCCCTTGCTCCGGCTGTTGTGGACACCTGGGGAGGAGAAGACCCCTGTCTGTCTGTCTGTCTGTCTCTGGGCCTTTCAAACACATTTAAAAAAATAGGACAAGGGTGCAGGCAGGGCTTGTCGCTGTTTTCCCCGCAGGGTAGAAGTGGAGGTGAGTGCTCCTGAGATTGCTACAGGTCCCAGCTCCTGTGCTGACGGCACGCCGCCCCAGGTAAGTTCAGGAGAGCGCTCCTTCCAAAAGACAAGACGTGAGCAGGCCCCAAACCACGCAGCACACACGGCCACACTCTGACTTCCCTCATTATGTGGACTTACTGCAGCATTCAGACCCATGGTGTTTTAATCAGTGTAAGTGATTAATTCAAACCAGACAGTGCGCTCTCGGGAATTCTGCATCCCTTGGAGGAGTTTTGATAAACTTCCATGATTTTTCACCTAATTCTCCCTTGTTTACTTTCGCGGAGACACTGCAATATTTTATAATTTAGACTTTTTCACCTTTGGAAATAAACCAGGCTTGCAAAAAAAAAAATAATGTTTTGTCAGAATTTTGGTTGGATTTGGAAAGCTGTGTGATTTATGCAATCAGGACTACTGATTTGAGGAAGTGGGATGGAGGGCGCACAGCCCAGCCCGGGTCAGCCTGGGGCCTCCCAACCCGATCCCAATCTCAGTGCGCCCGAGGCCTCCTGGGCCGCGTCTCCATCTTGGGTCCAGTGGAACAGTCGACGTGGAGTTTCGTGGAACCCGGCTCAGAAACACTTGGCTGAAAGGCATCGCGTGAGAAGGCGGCTGCTCTTTCTCTCTCGGAGTTTAGTTAGAGTAACTGTTGGTTTCTGGCAGAATGGCTCATGAATACCCCTGGGGCGTGCTAGGGTGTGGATAGGAGTTCCCCAACGCCAGAGTGTCAGGGCTTGGCTCCCAGAGTCTCGTGTTCTTGGTTCATGAATTAAGGGTTGAGAGTGCACTTGTGGTTGTCTGAACCCCTGGGGACTTCAGGAAGCACTGAGCTTGGCAGGAGTGGAGCCCTCGTGAGTGTGACATGGAGAGAGCTCCCTGGCTGCATACCCTGTCCTCCCTCCGCTCGAGTTCTGAAGCCCACTGCCCTCATCAGTCGCGAGACCAAGGGGGCTGCCCGATCTTGGACTGTGAACCTCCACAACCGTGCACTGAAACAAACCTTCCTCTTTTCTTTTTATTTATTTATTTATTTATTTATTTTAATTTTTTTGACAGGCAGAGTGGACAGTGAGAGAGAGAGAAACAGAGAGAAAGGTCTTCCTTTTGCCGTTGGTTCACCCTCCAATGGCCGCCGCGGCCAGCACGCTGCGGCCGGCGCACCGTGCTGATCCGATGGCAGGAGCCAGGAGCCAGGTGCTTTTCCTGGTCTCCCATGGGGTGCAGGGCCCAAGCACCTGGGCCATCCTCCACTGCACTCCCTGGCCACAGCAGAGAGCTGGCCTGGAAGAGGGGCAACCGGGACAGAATCCGGCGCCCTGACTGGGACTAGAACCCGGTGTGCCGGCGCCGCTAGGCGGAGGATTAGCCTAGTGAGCCGCGGCGCCGGCCCCAAACCTTCCTCTTTTCTAAGTGGCTCTCCTCAGGTGTCTGTTGTGATGAGATGCCGATCACGTGGGGCAGAACAGGCACACACAGCCGGTTTGTCTCCAAGGACGCGGTGCCTGGAGCATCCAGTGATGCCTCCTGAGACAGCCCCTTGGGGAGACTGGACCCAGTGACTAACTATCCATACTTTGCTGTCACCCACATTTCCTCTTGCTCTAGTTCCATGTTCTGTTACCAAGGAAGAAGTTGAGGATCCATGCACTTCTTGCCATGGAGGTTGGTGGCCAAGCTCCCTGGAAAGGGTGTTGAGTTTGCTGGAACCACGGCTCTGCTACTCATCGAGGAGGAGGAGGAGGAGGAGGTGTGGGGCTGGGACCGTACAGTCTCACATTCTGGCAGCAATAAGCACTGAGCCCATGGCATTGGAGAGCCCCCAGCCGGGCCGGCCCTGAGGCTCCCTGAACCTTGGAGGCTTCCAGCTCTGCAGCCAGGCTGAGTCAGTTTTCTCACCCCTGTCCCTTAAAGTTCCTGCGTAGCAACATTTTTATGTGCTTAGTGTATCCAAAAAAAAAAAAAAAAAAAAAAAAAAAAAAAAAGTGTTAAGATAGCAGCATGAAAACATCCTGTGCATGGTCTCCCGGTAAGTCCTGCGCTGGCGTGGGGTGTGATTGGAGTCAGGGCTGTGGCTGTTTTCCGCTCCTGCCCCTGACCGTCCGCATAGCCTCACGTGTCTTTCCCCCGTTGCGTTAACATCTGGAAAGCCGGCTGTGGGGCCCGCTGTGGCTTCGCGGGAAATGCCCACGTCCCATCCCGGACCGCTTTGAGCCCTGGCGGCTCCCTGCCGGCCGGCTGTCTGCTACTGCGCCTGGAGGCAAGCCGGCGCGGCCCAGGTGCCACCCGCGTGGGTGACGGGCAGGGGGCTCCTGGATCCTGACTTCGCCCAGCTCTGGGTGCTGTGGGCCTCTGGGCAGTGAACCAGGGGGTGCAACATCTCTGTCTCCCTCTGTCACTCTGCTTTCCAGATAAAACAATCCGTTTTTGGCGTCTTTTTGGAAGCCCGGGGAGGATCCTTCCCGTGGCCCTGGGGACCAAGAACGAAAGGTAGGCTTCATCCTTGAGTGTTTCTGTATGGCAGCAGCAAACACAGATGTGAAGACCGGAGAGGGAGCGAGCGGAGCGGCCGCGGGAAGCCGGGGCGAGGGTCCCGCTTCGTGCGCTCAGCCTGGCAGGCGGGACCGGCGGGCTGCATCCCGGCGGCGCGGGGCTCCTGTGTGGGGCCTGTCCTCGGCCTGCAGCCGCCGCCACCTCCCCCGCACCCCTGCCCGGCAACTGTCCCCGCCCCCACGGTCCCCGCCCCCCACAATAGTCCCTTGCTCTCTATATTCCCCATCCACTATGATCCTCGACCCCCCATTCCAGCCCCCCACCATCCCCGCCCCCACGGTCCCCGCCCCAATGGTCCCCGCTCCCCATGATCCCCACCCCCGCAACATGGTCCCCGCATCTCCCATGGTCCCTGCCCTCCACGGTCCCCGCCCCCCGCGGCCCTCCCCTCCCCCACGGTCCCCGCCCTTCACGCCCCGCCCCCACTGTCCCGCCCACTTAGCAGGAAGAAGCCTCCCCAGATGCCAGAGCCTTCACCTTGGCACGGTCAGCCTCCAGAATCATCAGGAAATACTTCCTGTTCTTCGTAAATGATGCCGGCTCAGGTGTTCCTTGGCAGCCAGGTGGGACCCGCTAGGACCCTTCCCTGCAGGCCATGTCCCCAGCCTCCTGCTCAGAATAGCTCCCTGGGGCCGGCGCTGGGGTGGAGCCTGCATCCCGTATGGGCACAAGTTCTGGTCCCGGCTGCTCCACTTCCAATCCAGCTCTCTGGTATGGCCTGGGAAAGCAGTAGAGGATGGCCCAAGTCCCTGGGCCCTGCACCCGCGTGGGAGACCTGGAAGAGGCTCCTGGCTTCAGCCTGGCCCAGCCTTGGCCTTTGAGGCCATTTGGGGAGTGAATCAAAGGATGAAGACAGAGCTTTCTGTCTGTCTCTGTCCCCGTCTCTCTACCACTCTGCTTTTCAAAATACATACATAAATCTCTCTCTCTCTTTTTTTTAAAAATATTTATTTATTTATTTGAAATTCAGAGGTACACACAGAGAAAGGAGAGGCAGAGAGAGACAGAGAGAGAGGTCTTCCATCCGTTGGTTCACTCCCCAATTGCCCACAACGGCCAAAGCTGTGCCGATCTGAAGCCAGGAGCCAGGAGATTCTTCTGGGTCTCCCAGGTGGGTGCAGGGGTCCAAGCACTTGGGCCACCCTCCACTGCTTTCCCAGGCCATGGCAGAGAGCTGGACTGGAAGTAGAGCAGCTGGGACTTGAACTAGCGCCCACATGGGCTGCCGGCACTGCAGGCGGAGGCTTTACCTGCTATGTCACAGCGCCAGCCCCACACTTCACATCCT